GCACGTATTCTAGATAATTTGACTATGCTCTTTATGACTTGCTACTTATTTTTTGAAAATAACGAATAATAACGAATGATAAATTTTCAGTTCGGGGGTTGCAACCCAAGAATTGAATGTTCATTCGAATAAATGATTATATAGAGCCGAAATTGATTGTGCTTCTCATTTTGTAACTTAATTTTTACATGATTATTAAAGGTAACGATTATGATAATTGCAAGGTTGTGATACTTACCTGAGACCTTCACTGGAAGATATATTCACAAAGTTCTTGGCAATGGCTGTCGCTAGAGCGGGATGTACTTTGAAACCATCCTTACAAATTTTTGCAGCAGGTTCGAAAAGCTCTTTCCAAGAAAGTTTKCCAAACTTTTTCCAGGCTTTCTCGAAGCCTCGGAGCTCACCAGGAACACCGACTAGCAGCCCTTCACTTGGYTTCATGGTATTTTGCTCTGTTGAGTTTGCAAAGAAGAAAAATTAACATCCTAAACTAAAATTAAATTACAGAGGTATAGTTGGTGTGYGATGAGTCAATGTCAAGAAAATGCACAATTATTGCTTTGGATGGTGGAAACTAGYTGTAAACTATATAGTGTGAGCTGCGCCGGTGTTTCTAAAGAAACGTTTGTGTAAAAAGATATTTTAACACCGTAAAAATAGGTGTARCAAGTTCTATATGTCCCTTTATAATTTTGATATCTTTTGTTCTCTCTTTTAGCACCTCTCTTGTTCTTTTCTCTAACACATCTCTTACTTTAAATGTTTATTTCTCGTTACCACGCCTACGTTGCCGATGTTGGTCTAATGGTCTAATTTCTTTGCTCCTCTCATTACATTAACTCACACCTATCCTAGTTTCATCTCTTTACTCCGACAAAGGATTAACGTCTTCTTCAAGAGCTTAACTCCCTCCCCCCCCCATAGTATCCAAATTTGTCTAGTTTTCAGTTTTGCGTGCGCAAGTACCTCAGGATAACCTCGATGCGAATGGGTTTGGGCTATTTTTGGGGGCACTTTTTTGGATTTTTTTTTGCCCGAAAAAGCGTTTCGATGCCTCTCGTCCAAAATAAGGTAAAAAACATTGATTTACATATGCTGTTTCAGATAAATGTTCGTTTTGATTTAATTTCGGCGCGAAAAAAGGATTTTTGTCGATCGTTTTTGGCTCATTTTTGGGATAATTTCGAGCGGAGTCTCTTCCCTTGCCACTATATATATACATGGAGGGGAAATTTTTTTAAAACCCATTTATAATGCATTGTGACACTGAGTAAAATAAAAAATTTTTTAAGTAAAATTTTATTTTTAACTATTATAGGTTCAGAAAAGCGCGCACAAAACCTGCCAAGTACACGCGCTAAAGTCAAAAGCGCGCGCGGTAAAAGCAAAAAAGCACGCGCTATAAAAAAGTACGCGCCAAACTAAATAGACTGAGCCTCTAGCTTATAAAAAGTAACGAAGTCAAAACACTCAGCTCACTAAACTAGAAATTACAATACACGGACCCAAGCCAGACAAACATCACAGAAGAAAAATATACATAGTTTATTTCATGGAAAGTGCGACGTACGGGATTTTATTCACGAGTTGTTTGCATCATACAACGAACGAGCGAGGAACGAGCGAGTATGATGCAAACGAGTGAATAAAATCCCGTACAAAGCACTTTCCATGCTATAAACTGTTTATTATATATATAACGAGATTTTCATTCGACTAATTTACTACAACCTTGATAAACAAATGTATTATAAAACCAAAACCTAACGCACGACGCTACAAAGACGTATTGCGCATGTCCGTGTAAACTACGACCTTAGGGGGGTAGGGCAAAGGCCATAACATGTCTTCCCCCCTCCGAAAAAATACCTTACGTACATGCATTTACAACTAGAATATGAAAAAATTATCCTCATTAAGCCTTTCCACTTCTGAGAATAATCTAGATGTCCTGTTGATGCTTGATTCTGGTCCAAGTCGAACAAAAGATTAACTGAAAGTCTTAGTCTATCTTGGATGTCGTCCAAATAATCAGAAGAATGGGGAGTACCCAGTCGCTTCGTTTCTTGTGCAATTATATGCATAGACTAATTTGTTGACGTGTTTCTTCCAAGTTTTCTTGTCAGACTCGGATAAGGTATGTAGCATGCTCAATACAGTCTGATTAAATCATTCGGCTTGTCCGTTGCCTTCAAGATGATGGGGTTGTACCATAGGCAGCCCAACCATTGCTTAAGTCAAAGGAAAGAACGAATGCGCAATCTTTTATATCATTTGTGTTATCGGCGCGCGCTCTCAGAAAAATGCGGATTACTTGCTTCGCGGGTCTACAGACTAATCTTTACAAGGTATAAAACATCGGTCATGTGATGGATCGTGATTTTAGGGTGATTTTGAAAAAAGTTAACAGAATATGAAATTGAAAAGTGTATCACAGAGCTTATCATGATCAGCTAAAACATTGTATTGCTTTAGTTATCATCAACAAACCTACAATCGCAGTCTGTCGAACCTTCGCTGGCAAATTCGGCTACAAAACTTGTTTTGCTATCCATCCAAATTTTCTAACTTTCTTCAAAATGACTAAGTACAATGTACTCCAAGTAAGTCAAGTAAATTTCCGCGAGAATTGTCTCTTAGACCAGCTTTAGACATGTTTACAGACGTTACACTTCATCGGTTATTTCTCGGTCCGCCATTTTGAAAGCCTGCGATGTTTTTCAGTGGATTTTGAGAGCTTGCCATTTTTTTTCAGCAATCTCGAGCCAAGAGTCTTCACGGCTAATGTCAGCGGTATGCTGACGCCGGAAAGACTCTGGAGGAATCGACTGGATTTGAGACGCTTTTCCGTCGCAAATTATGCAAATTAGATTAGTTTTGTTTTTGCCGCTTTAAAGCATCAAAATGATAAAAAAGGAGGTTTAGCACACAACTTAGTTAAGAAAAGGTATTTACACCTTTTTAAAAATAAAAATGTGTGAAAAAATGTGTGGTTATGCGAGAAAAGGATGATTTTCTTGACTAAAAGGGCGAGCGCGCGCAGGCGACTTGAAAAACCGACTTGAAAACAATGCGCGCTCGCGTCATTTTCAGCCAATCACGAATCGAGAAATAACGCATTCCCCCAGAGTCTCTCACGCATTGTCATCCGCTGGATGGCAAAAGTGCGGGCTCTGGGTACGAGATTGTTTTTCAGCGACTATGTTTAAAAGTTTCACGAAAGTGAGTGAGTGASAAATCGTCCCCCTCCAATAACTCTTCGATTGCTTACTCAATCTCCGAGTTAAAAATTCAAGACCTTTCAAAGCGAATAGTGAGCTAAACAGCTAGCATTTCAATGGATGATGATATCAAGCGACAATCTTTGCAATGTCAAAACATTGTTTAGGGAACTGTTTCGCTAACGCTTTTTAATGTTTGGGAAAAGAGKTTTTCACTTTGGACAACGAGAAGGGAATGATGCAGGCATTCCTAGACAATATCTTTGATTTGTGCGCCGATAACATAAAAGAGATAAAAGCTTCCGCATTCGTTCTTTCCTTTCAACTCAAGCAATGGTTGGGCGGCAGAAGTACATAACCAGAAGTGTCCATCTCGCTCATAATATCGCCACCATCAGATGTCCCGATAATCTAGTTTTAGAAAACCAATCACAACGCGCGCACATATTACACGGCACATGATTGGTCCTTGTTAATCTACTTCAAGAGCGGACAAAAAGAGGAAAATGTAGTCGATGGAGAGGCGAACGAAGTAAAGCTTGCATTACGAGAATTTTACAACTTTTGAGGAACAACCATTTCAAAACATTCTTTACTATATGAGCAATATAGCGAAGGTAGTCATTCAAGAGTAATATGATGTGCGCGCGTTGTGATTGGTTGTCTAAAAATAGATTGTCGGAACATCTGATGGTGGCGATATTATTGGGGAGATGGAMACTTCTGGTTATGTACTTCTGTTGGGCGGCCTATGGTTGTACGCGAGCGTATTTGTTTTCAAATTCGTGTCCTTGATCACGGTGAATCCGACCAGGAATTCCAAATCTTGRTTTCAACTCGCTGACTGCCTGTGCAGATTTCCTCTTTGTATAATTCTAAGTGTCCTAGCAAGCTACCTTGGTGTATTTATTGGTATACCTGTGTAATTCTGAGTGTCCTTGTGTCCTATCGTCCTAGTGTCCTTGCTAGCTGTCTTGGTGTATTTAATTTATAATTTTAAAAATGGTCCTTGAATTCGTAAAACGGGTATTAGTCATTTGAGGTTGGGGATGAACGACCTTGGGTGTAGACTGATCTTAAATGTATGTGAGTTAAGTATTGTTATGAAAACATATAGCACGGAAAAATTGGGTCTGTTACATGGAGAAAGAACCGTTATATCCAGGTTATATCCAGCTCTATAACACAATTATCGCTTCAATCTTCATGTTTTCTTTACATGTAATTTAGAAGAGACAGGATCCRTTATCAAACTGGAAAATTTAGGCTATGAAACTCRGAAACAGCCACGTTACGGCTTCACTCAGAAACTCAGCTACGAAGTATCGGTTTATATCTCGCCAAGGAAAATGCACTATTTGGCTCGACACACCAACCTTACACAAATGAATGTTTTGGAATAACAAAAGAACTCGAATCTCAAAGAATTACTATAAAAGCTACTGTAACTCCCGGGAAGTAACTGTACTATGATACGATTGTT